ACCTCGGAGTCCTAGTGGACGATCACCTAAATATGAGCCAGCCGTGTGCTGAAGCTGCCAAAAAGGCCAACACAATGCTAGGCTGCATTAACAGAGGGATAGGATCAGGATCATGTGAAGTGTTAATACCACTTTACAAGGCCTTGGTAAGGCTACACTTGGAATACGGCATCCAGTTTTGGTCACCATGATGTAAAAAAGAGTTTGAGACTCTGGAAAGAGTGCAGAGAAGAGCAACAAAGATGATTAGGGGACTGGAGGTTAAAGCATACAAGGAACGGCTGCTGGAATTGGGAATGTCTAGTTTAATGAAGAGAAGGACGAGGGGGGACATGATAGGCAGTCTTCCAGTATCTCAGGGGCTGCCCCAAAGAAGAGGGAGTCAAGCTCTTCTCCAAAGCCCCTGAAGGCAGGACAAGAAGCAACAGGTGGAAACTCATCAAGGAGAGAAGCAACTTAGAACGAAGGAGAAACTTCCTGACAGTAAGAACAATTAACCAGTGGAACAACCTGCCTCCAGAAGCAGTGAATGCTCCAACATTGGAAGTTTTCAAGAAGAGACTGGACAGCCATTTGTCCGAAATGGTATAGGGTTTCCTGCCTGAGTAGGAGGTTGGACTAGATGACCTCTAAGGTCCCTTCCAACTTTATTATTATTGTTATTGTTGTTGTTAGTTTGCTTTGTCCAGCACATCAAGCTTGGTTTTTCATGCTCTATGACCAAAATGAAGATTGATTTGATCAAGCTTGCTTCAACTTGGCTGCTGGATTAGGTTTAACGGGTGGCCCAAAGCTGGAGAAGAATAAAACAGAATAGAGCTGGAAGGGACCTTGGGGGTCTTCTAGTCCAGCCCCCTGCTCAAGCAGGAAAGCCTATACCATTTCGGACACATCTCTTCTTGAAAACCTCCAGTGACGGAGCGTCCACAAATTCTGGTGGCCAGCTGTTCCACTGGTTAATTGTCCTCACTGTTAGGAGGTTTCTCCTCAATTCCAGGCTGCTTCTGTCCTTGATAAGTTTCCATCCATGGTTTCTTGTCTTGCCTTCAGGGGCTTTGGTGAATAATTTGACCCCCCCCCTCTTCTTTGTGGCAGCCCCTCAAATACTGGAAGATTGCTAAGCTTTACGAACCAGAGATTGGGGGGGGGCGGACGGGGATTTGTCAAGCCAGACGTGGGCATGTCAAAAAAAGACAAAAGGGGAGGGTCATAGCTGTGTAACACAAACATAGTTGTGGTGTGGGGCAGACCCCCACCATCTTAACCTGCAGTTCTCAACCTATGGGTCGCGACCCCATTTGGGGTCGATCGATCATTTCACGGGGGTCGCCAAGCAAGGCTGTCCGCCATTTTTTTTCCCCTTTTCCGGCGGGTGCCTCACCTCCCTTGGGCTGGGCCAGCTGGTGGCCCAGCTGATGGTCGGCCCGCTCCGTCTCTGCCGCTTGCCAGCTACGCCTCGGCCGGCGCAGGGGGCGGCACCACGCATGCGCGGCGCTCCCGGGCAGGGAAAGTCCTCGACTTACGACCGGTTGGGGAGTCCTCGACTTACAACCGGTTTAGTCTTCGACTTATGACCGGTTTAGTCCTAGACTTATGACCAGTTTAGTTCTCGACTTACGACCGGTTTAGTCCTCGACTTACAACCGGTTGGGGGAGGATTGCGGCATTAAAAAGGTTGAGAACCACTGCTCTTAACTTCCTTCACCTCTTCTGCAGATACCGGTTACTCCCATATGCTAGGTTCGGATAGATGAGACATATTTGTAGTCCCGACCATGAGCCAGAGTTTGCAGGACACGGTCGAAAGCTTCAAGAGCGCCATGGACGAAATGCAAGGCAAAGTCAAGGCAATGCGAGAACGGGCGGAAGAGGCCTACCAGAAGCTCAACCAGCTGGAAGTCCTGAAGTTCGCTTTGATCGATTCCAACAATCAGCTCAACAAGGAGCTGAGGAAGCTGTCCCAGGAAGTGGCTCTCTTTGAGGACCAGAACGCCTTGGAGAAAAGCCCTCAGACGCGCCCGAAGAAGACCCCTTCGGCCCCCAGGAAAACGGGGAAGAAGAAAGAAGGGGAGACCCCACGAGAAGCCAACTCCAAGGAAAAGCAATAATAAAAGAAGGCCAATTGTGTTGGGGGTGACCACCCTTTTGCTTTGGGGGTGGTGGTGGTGGGGTGGTGGTTCTCCACAGAAATGAGTTGGGGTGTCCCTCTTTGAGGTTGCAGCTTCAGGGGAGACCGTGTACCCTGCAAAAGGCCAACATGGCAGCCGGCTGCTGAAGAACTGAGCTTTCTCTCAAACAGCAGGACAGGGATGGACAAATAGAACAGAAAACAGATGGGAAGGGACCTTGGAGGTCTTCTAGTCCAACCTTTCCGGCCTCACGGCCTGGAGGGAAGGAGAGCAGCTTCCAAATTGGCGTGTGTGTGTGCACGCACGCAAATGTCGATGCGCGCACCAGGGCAGCGGTAACAGCCCCATTCGCGCCTGCGCAAATGGGCGATGCGTACCCACCTGGCGCTGGCGGCCTCGTTCGTGCCCGCGTGCATGCACATATGGGGCTGTGGGCGGTAGCATGAGTGGGGGGAAGCATGCGCATGCACGGGCACACCCCGGCTAGCCATTTCTGAGGCCCGCTGGCCAAGAGGTTGGGGACCCCGGTTCTAGTCCAACCCTCTGCAATGGTATAGGGCTTCCTGCCTGAGCAAGGGGTTGGAACTAGATCAGTGGTTCTCAACCTGTGGGTCGGAACCCCATTTGGGGTCGAACGACCATTTCACGGGGGTCGCCAAACAAGGCTGTCCACCATTCCCCCCCCCTTTTCCTTAGCTGTGCTACTCCCTTTTATTCTATTGGCTTTCAAAATCCAATAGGAATTGTCCAGGCTGTCTCTGCCCTGCTGAGCCTGCCAAAAGTCCCATTCTGCAAACGGTGCTGCACCAGTTGAGTAGTCCTCAACTTACGACCGGTTGAGTAGTCCTTGACTTACAACCGGTTGGGGGGTCGTGGCATTAAAAAGATTGAGAACCACTGGACTAGATGATCTTCAAGGTCCCTTCTATTATTATTATTATTTTATTATTATATTATAATAATAATGTAATAATAAAAAAATCACACAGTCAGCCAGATGTTCAGACTGGATTTGGCATTTTTGTCTACCTATTGAGTCCTTCCCAAGGACCCGGGATAGGCAGATGTGGATGTTTGATGTTATTGCAGATCTCGTCACAGGATGGAAGCAGTTCCTTAGTAAGGCCACCTTTTGCAATTGACTAATGGCGAATTTGTCAATGCCGATGATGGTGTTCAAGTGGTGCTCCAGTTGTTTTGGGATTGCACCCCAGGCGCCTATGACTATTGGTACCACCTTTACTTGCCTTTGCCACCATCATTCTATTATTATTATTATTATTATTATTATTATTATTATTATTATTGACAAGCTGTAACCACTAAGCATGGTTATACCCACTATTTTGACTTTTGTGACCCAGCTGCTCTGTGATTGCTAAACATTGAACAGGGAAGCCTCCTTTGAGGATAATCCCCAGAAATTGGGGGGTCCATTGCTTGCTAAAGCTGTTGCATCGGAGTCCAGTGGATAAAAATTACCGAGGTTTTTTTTGTGGGGTTTTTTGGGGGGGCCACCTTGGGAGAGGAAGCCCTGGGAAACTGCACAGCGCTCCTAAAATAGGCATATCACAGTTCAAACACCAAGGGCAAATGACAAATGTTTACCCTAAAACAATCAACTCCCCCCCCCCTACAGTATATGTCAGTGATGTCAAACCTTTTAGAGACCGAGTGCCCAGACTGCAAACCAAGACCCACTTATTTATCGCAAAGTGCCAACCCGGCAATTTAATCTGAATGCGGAGGTTTTAGTTTAGAAAAAACAACTCGTACCTCAACATCTTTTGTCTTAAAAGAAAAACACAATAACAAAGCTTTCAATGATACCAACAACTTTTTACTGAAAGTTTGCGTTTGGCATGCTTTTTGAACAATGAATGTGATTTGTGCTGTTGTATGCATGCTGATCATTTGACTAACCTTGGCTCATACTTTGTAACTCTGAAAGCAACACATGCAGCACTCAGGTCATCTGTTAGTCTGTTTTTGGTGTCAGATTTGATATAATTCAAAGCTGAAAACAGCATGCTCGATTCGGAGGGTTGTTTTGGCTAGGAAGGGGATTGAGAAATGGCTTTTTTCTGCCAAAACGTAGCCAAAAAGCGAGGCGCGCATGCCCACCGAGAGGGCTCTGAGTGCCCCCTCTGGCACGCGTGCCATAGGTTCGCCACCACTGGTATAAGTCCTGCCCACTTTATTTTTCCATATTGAAAAATTGAACAGCCTTCCCTCAACAGAGGGGGAGTGATACGACATTATCGATCTCCAGTCTACAACATGGTCCGTTCAGCAGTTCCAAGAAGGCTCCACATCCATTTGTGCCTGAGGACACAGGTAAACCTCCAGGTAGCCTCAACAGACTCTCTGAAAGAATGCAAATGACCAGCTGTCCGCAAGAAGTATAAATCCTTCCATCCTTCGCCATTCAGTCAGAGCTGAAGAAGCTTCTTGAAAGAGAAGCGAAACATCTTCAAAGACGAAGAAAGTCCAGTTGCCTCCTGAAAAAGCATCTTTGAGATAAATATTGTACGTTTTCTGCAGTGTGTGTGGTTGTGGGGTTTTTTTTTGGAAGGGGAGGCTCAATCTTACAGATTCTCCTCTTAATGTTTTCAATTGTAAGCCTCACTCCAAATGTCAATCAATCAATCCATCACTCCATCCCAGGGCAGTCTTCAGCGTGGGATGTCCGATTGAGTGCAAACTTTGCACTAAAAGGCTTCCTCCCGTATGCCAGGAGTGTGAGTGTGTGCGGTGTCTTGTCCTTTGTGCGACAGAGCCTCCGGGAAGGATGAGGTCCATAAAAGCTCCTGATTGGCTGGAGATTGTGGATTGTGACATCAGATGCAAGGCAGTTTCTGACAGTTGGGGCTTGAACTCAGCTCTGGTTGATGCTGGGCTGTCTGGGAGAGGCCATTTCTCTCGTGGGAATTGAGCATCCTTTGGTGAGTAGGCAAAATGATGGCCTCTCCTCTGATCCCCACAATAAGCAAGCATCCCATCAAGAACCTTGGATGATGCTGGGACCCAATTCTGAAGAACATTATTGATGGAACCTCTTTTATACTCAGCATTTCCCAAGGCTGAGCACAGGGTGGTGTCTTGCAGTTGAAAGGATGATGGACTCTTGGGTGGGAATTGATTTTATTAATTGGACTTTAGGTCTGTGGGGGAAAGGGCCTATTGTTTTTATAGAAACCGCAGAAGACCTGCTAGCTTGTGAAGAAATAGGTTGGATATACTGTCAGAAAATTTCTCCTTATATCAGGGAGAGAGATTCAACCTAGAAATAAGGAGAAATTTTCTGACATGAGAACAATCAACCAATGGAACAGGAGTTGCCTTCAGATGTTGTGGGAGCTTCATCGCTGGAAGCTTTCAAGAAGAGAATGAACTGCCATCTGTCAGAAATGGTGTGAGGGTTTTCTGCTTGGGCCCAGGGGGTTGGACTAGATGACCCACAAGGTCCCTTCCAACTCTGCTATTCTATTCTATTCTATTCTATTCTATTCTATTCTATTCTATTCTATTCTATTCTATTCTTTAATTCTATTCCATTCCATTCCATTCTATTCTATTCTATTCTATCCTACCTTACCCTACTCTATCCTACCCTACCCTACTCTATCCTATTATCCTACTTCTATCCTATCCTATCCTATCCTAGTCTAGTCTAGTCTTGTTGTTGTTGTTAGTTGCAAAGTTGTGTCCGACCCATTGCAACCCCATGGACAACGTTCCTCCAGGCCTTCCTGTCCTCTACCATCTTCTGGAGTCCATTGAAGCTCACGCCTCCTGCTTCAGGGACTCCATCCAGCCATCTCATTCTCTGTCGTCCCCTTCTTCTATTGCCCTTCATCTTTCTCAGCATCAGGCTCTTCTCCAGGGAGTCCTTCCTTCTCATTAGGTGGCCAAAGTTCTTGAGTTTCCACTTCAGGATCTGGCCTTCTAAAGAGCAGTCGGGGTTGATCTCCTCTAGGACTGCCCGGTTTGATCGCCTTGCAGTCCAGGGGACTTGCAGGAGTCTTCTCCAGCACCAGAGTTCAAAGGCCTCCATTCTTTGGCACTCAGCCTTTCTTATGGTCCAACTTTCACAGCCATACATTGCAACTGGTCTAGTCTAGTCTAGTCTAATTATTATTCTATTCTATTCTATTCTATTCTATTCTATTCTATTCTATTCTATTCTATTCTATTTTATTCTATTCTATTCTATTCTATTCCATTCCATTCCATTCTATTCTATTCTATTCCATTCCATTCCATTCCATTCCTGTTCCATTCCTGTTCTATTCTATTCTATTCTATTCTATTCTATTCTATTCTATTCTATTCTATTCTATTCTATTCTATTCTATTCTATTCCATTCCATTCCATTCCATTCTATTCTATTCTATTCTATTCTATTCTATTCTATTCTATTCCATTCCATTCCATTCCATTCTCTGTAAAGAAGCACACTCCAAAGTGCTAACTCTAATTTTCTTGCTCCCATTTACAAAATCCCGCAAGTGTGAAAGACATCTCTCCCCCCCCCCCTTGCCTTTACAGCCCAACAAATTAGGGATGGTCACCTCTGGGAGATTTGCCACACCTGCATTCATTGTGCAGGCTCAGCTGTTGGTTGTCCAGCCATTGGCTAGTTTGAGGTTCTTCCTCCAGTCTCCCCTATCATTCACATTTCTGGTCAGAGATCTAGCGTGGTCTAAATTAAATCTTCTTCTGCTGTATTGGGAGATCTTTCCTAGTGGTCTCCCATCCCAGAATCAACTTAATCTAGGGAAGACTGGGTAAATTGGGTTAGGCTGCTGTCACCTGCCCTGACCGCCCATATGAAAATATTCAAAAACAGGTGGGATGTGCTAAGAACACGATGATTGCTCCTGGCTTACTCCCCCTTTGCTCGTTCCTCAGAAGAGCAGGGCTGAATTCGAGCCCTTCCGCCCATGGAGAAATCCGAAGCCTCCCACCTGGTGGACACCCAGGAGGCCTTAAAGAAGGAGATCTGGGACCTAAGAGAGAAAGCCGTCAACCTCGACCTTGAAAACCAGGAGATCGTGAAGGAGATCAAGCACATGAACGAGGAGAACAAGAGCTTGGAAGAGAAGGTCAGCTGCTTCAAAACCATCGTGGAGGACCTGGAGAAAGAAGAGGAAGAGCTGCAGGAGATGCTCCAAGAACGGGAAGACACAAGGGCATCCCTGGAGGCCCAAAACCAGACCCTGGCAGAGACCAACAAGGTCCTCTGCTCCAGAATTGAGGCGGTCTCCAACCAGCTGTTCAGGTTTCAGGAGTCCAAGGATAGCCGGGACCAGGGAATTTTGCGTATCAAGCAGGTGATGGAGCACATCGTGGGCTACTTCAAACAGCTGGAGGCCAAAATCGAAATGGCCAAGCATCAGTATGAGGATGAGAAGAAGCAGTCTGCCGAGCTGGCTCGGACAGTGGTGGAGCTGGAGGAGATCTGCAAGGCGCTGGAAAACCAGGTCCTCTCGTTGGAGGAGCAGCTAGAACTGTCCTCCTTCAGCAGGTTGAAGATGGACGCTGGCCTGGAAGGTCCTTCTCTGCTGCAAGAGATGGTGCAGGCCAAGCTGAAGCAGGACTCCCGCGGGCTGCAAAAGTCCTTCTTCCTCCTCCTATCCAGAGGGACATGGGTGCTGGTGGCGATGACGCTCGGCCTGGGATTTTCACACTTGTTGCTCTTCCTGTTTGGCCAAGACTTGGCGGGCGGAAATTACCTGCTGACCTTGACTGACGGCCTTAAGTGGGTGTCCAAAACCTTGTCCCCGTATCCTGTCCGGAGGCAGAGTGGCTTGCGGCCGTTTTGAGCCAGAACGCCGTGGAAAACGGTAGAAAGGCGAGTTCATAAGAAAGGAGCCACTCTCTTCCTAGCTCAGGGAACGGAATGTATCTCCTTAATTTCAATAATAATAATAATAAATATCTTTGTTCTCTGGTGCAGTTTTATGACGTGCATCGCTTGGGGCACAGATGTAATGGGATAATAATAATAATAATAATAATAATAATAATAATAATAATAATAATAGTAAAGTTGGAAGGGACCTTGGAGGTCATCTAGTCCAGCCCCCTGCTCAGGCAGGAAACCCTGTACCATTTCAGACAAATGGCTGTCCAGCCTCTTCTTGAAAACTTCCAGTGTTCATCCTTATCATTTCATAAGCCACCATCCCTTTGTCCAAGCCGGAGGGTGGATGCTGCAACTTGCACATCATGGTTAGTTTGCAAGATTTTTTTTTAAAGGGAGGGTGCACTACGAGATGATGGATCTCGTAAACAACAACAACAACAACAATAATAATAAAGTTGGAAGGGACCTTGGAGGTCATCTAGTCCAACCTCCTACTCAGGCAGGAAACCCTATTCTGTTTTGGACAAATGGCTGTCCAGTGTCTTCTTAAAAACTTCCAGTGTTGGAGCATTCACCGCTTCTGGAGGTAGGTAGTTCCATTGGTTAATTGTTCTCACTGTCAGGAAGTTTCCCCTTAGTTCTACGTTGCTTCTCTCCTTGATTAGTTTCCATCCGTTGCTTCTTGTCCTGCCTTCAGGCGCTTTGGAGAATAAATTAGTTATTTGATGCAAAACTACATAGGGATTGTACAAAAGGTTGTTCTTGCTATTAGCATAATGACCGCCATTTTGCTTCTGTACACAGTGCTTGCCTGAGGGACGCCATTTTGGGAAGGCAGGAAGATCAGGTGCACAGACCCAGAGACAGGGGAAAGAGCGGGAAAGTAATGAAAGATGATTGGCTGACGTTCTGCGTGCCAACAAGTGCCACCTTGTGATTGGTTGTTCTTCGTATATAAATAGAAGTGCTTGCCTGACCAGGGGCCCTTCTGACCACAGCTGCCGGTGTTTTGGACAGTGTTCCACCCAGCAGCTTTGACTGGCCAAATAAAGTTCGGTTTGACCTGAAAGCCTCTGCATGAGTCTCCTGATTTGCTCCATTGGAATCTAAAGTTCTTTGAGTAGCTGCTGGCTCTTATAAGGCCATTTATCGATGAAGGAGAATATTTGTAGCGCAGGATTGAAAGGTGCCCTCTGAGCTTGGCTGTAACATCATCAGTTATGATGTTAATTGATGATGTTATCAAGGTTGGGTCATGAAACGTCTGCAAAAAAACAACCGAGCTCTGAGAACACCCAGAATCCTACAGTCCTCCTCCTCCTCCTCCTCCTCCTCCTCCTCCTCCTCCTCCTCCTCCTCCTCCTCCTCCTCCTCCTCCCTTCTACTCCTCCTCCTCCTCCTCCTCCTCCTCCTCCTCCTCCTCCTCCTCCTCCTCCTCCTCCTCCTCCTCCTCCCTTCTAGCACTGATGACGTTCCCTAGTTGGGTCATGAAATGTCTGCAAGAAAACAATCAAGCTCAGAGAGCACCAAGGATCCCACAGTCGTCCTCCTCTCCTCTCTTCCTACTTCTCCTCCTCCTCCTCCTCTCCTCTTCCTCCCCCCTCCTTCTCCCCCCTTCCTCCTCCTTCTCCCCATAAATCCCATTCCTTCTAAGCACTGATGATGTTCCCTAGTTGGGTCATGAAATGTCTGCAAGAAAACAATCAAGCTCAGAGAGCACCAAGGATTTCACAGTTGTCCTCCTCTCCTCCCTCCTCCTCCTCCTCCTCCTCCTCCTCCTCCTCCTCCTCCTCCTCCTCCTCCTCCTCCTCCTCCTCCTCCTCTCTTCTAGCACTGATGACATTCCCTAGTTGGGTCATGAAATGTCTGTAAGAAAACAATCAAGCTCAGAGAGCACTAAGGATCTCACAGTCATCCTCCTCTCCTTCTCCTCCTCCTCTCCTCTTCCTCCCCCTCCTTCTCCCCCCTTCCTTCTCCTCTCCACAAATCCTCTCCCTTCTAGCACTGATGATGTTCCTTAATTGGGTCATGAAACATCTGCAAGAAAACTACCAAGCCCAGAGAACACCAAGGACCCCTCAAGATTATTTATATTCATATTTGGCTATGACAGGAGGAAAAAAATCAAACTTTTTAAAATAATTGCACCGACTGACACAAATAACAGCATGACAAAACAGCAACAATGGTGCATTGGAAGATCTGCAGAGAATATCTTTTTTTTTCCCCAAAAAAGGCAACTTGACTTTTTTTTTCTTGAATACATTTTGCTTCTCATCCAGGAAGCTTCTTCAGTTGGATGGAAGGAATTATATTCCTCGCAGTCATCTGGCTGTTAGTACTCTCTCTGAGAGTCATTGAGGCTACTACAGGTATATCTGTATCCTCAGATAATAGTAAATAGTGCAAATGGGTGTGGAACACTAGTCTAAGTCCAATTGCCTTTTAGAAGGGAAAAAAAAAAAGCACTGCAGGAAATACCTGCAAGCAAGAACTGTGGAGACCCCAAAATAGATAAAGTAGCAGAAAAGGAAGAAGTCAAAGTGCTCTGGGACTTTAGAATTCAAACAGATAAGCAGCTGTCATGTAGCCCCCCCCCCAAACTGAACAATGGTCAGTAAGAAAGACAAAAAAGCCTGGATAGTGGACGTGGCAGTGCCTGGAGACAGCAGAATAGATGAGAAAGAACTGGACAAAATGACAAAATTCAATTAGAAGTAGAATGTCTGTAGCTGAACTATGCTGGAGAAGACTCCTGCGAGTCCCTTGGACTGCAGGGCGTTCAAACCGGTCAGTCCTAGAAGAGATCAACCCCGACTGCTCTTTAGAAGGCCAGATCCTGAAGTTGAAACTCAAATCCTTTGCCACCTAATGAGAAGGAAGGACTCACTGGAGAAGAGCCTGATGCTGGGAAAGATTGAGGGCAAGAGAAGAAGGGGACGACAGAGAATGAGATGGCTGGATGGAGTCACTGAAGCAGTAGGTGTGAACTTCAATGGACTCCAGAAGATGGTAGAGGACAGGAAGACCTGGAGGAACGTTGTCCATGGGGTCGCAATGGGTCGGACACGACTTCGCAACTAACAACAAGCCAAAGAGAGAGAGAGAGGGAGAGAGAGAGAGAGAGAGAGAGAGAGAGAGCAAAAATAGTACCAATAACGATAAGTGCTTTGGATGCAAACATCTGGAGCGTGACTTGAACACCATCGGCATTGACTAAATTCCTGTTGGTCAATTACAAAAGGCAGCTTTACTTGGAACAGCTGACATCCTGCAATCGTCCCTTTTAATACTATCAAACTAGGAAATCTGCCTATCCCAGATCTTTGGGAAAGACTCGATATGTAGATAAAAATCCAGTTTAAAACTCTTGCTGACCATACATGAACTACAATAATGATGACGCAGTGAGGGTGGACATCCCAAATATTTTTTTTTCTATCAAAGGATGAGCAACAGATCTTTCAAAGGTTACGACAAATTTAGTGTCCCAGAAAGATCTTGGATGGTGAACCATTAGCAGACAGAGTTCCTTTTGTCTTCCTGTCCCCTGCTTTTCCTCCTCCTTTGTTCCAATAAAGGCAATTTTTTTTTAGCCCAATTCACCCTTTTAAAATTGCACAATGTGCCTTTGGTTCCATGTTAACCACCAGGAGGAAATATTTAAAACAGGATTCAACACAAATATGTCCAACAGGCTGAAGTTTCTGGAAGAGCAGACAGAAAAGTACTTTTCTCTTTCTTTCTTTCTTTCTTTCTTTCTTTCTTTCTTTCTTTCTTTCTTTCTTTCTTTCTTTCTTCCTTTCTTCCTTCCTTCCTTTCTTCCTTCCTTCCTTCCTTCCTTCCTTCTTCCTTCCTTCCTTTCTTTCTTTCTTTTTTAAAAAAGGTTTACCATGTCTTTTAATAGAACACAATTAAAAATTAGCAAAAGTAAGAAATCAAGCTTTACTGGAAGCTGCCAGATTTTGTTGCGCTCCAATTTGCTTATAAAACATTTTTAAAGACAAGAAATTGAGAAAAAATGCTGGTAGCATTTTAAAATAAAATTCTTAGAGCTTTCAAAGATAATAGACAGAGATAATAGAATAGAATAGAATAGAATAGAATAGAATAAAATAGAATAGAATAGAATAGAATAGAATAGAATAGAATAGAATATTCTAGTCCAGCCCCCTGCTCAAGCAGGAGATCCTATATCATCTCAAAGAAGTGATTGTCCAGTCTCTTCTTAAAAATTTCCAGTGTTAGAGTACCCAGGACTTCTGGTGGCAAGTGGTTCCACTGGTTAATTGTTCTCACTGTCAGGAAATTCCTCCTTAGTTCTAGTTTGCTTCTCTCCTTGATGAGTTTCCATCCGTTGCTTCTTGCCCTGCCCTCTGGTGCTTTGGAGAATAGTTTGATCCCCCCCCCCCACTCCTGTGGCAACATCTCAAGTACTTAGATGATGATGATGATGATGATTGCAAACACGCTTGGTTCCCATTACAATTTAAAGTGAATAAGATAAGATAAGAAGAGAAGAGAAGAGAAGAGAAGAGAAGAGAAGAGAACTTTTATTGTTATTTTATACTGTAGGCATAATGGCACACATCAAAAATGAAATTTAGTTGCCCGCTCTCAAAGTGAAACACAGTCATGACACACACCTAAACATACTATCTACAACATATGTATAGACCCACATCCCTACATATATGTAGCAAATAAATATTAAATACTGCCCATCTTGAATATATAACGGAAGGAGGAAGCTTGAGAGTTCGCAGGGTTAATGGTGTATGGAATGAAACTCTGGCTGAATCTGGATGTTCTGCTTCGGATACCATGAAGCCCCCCCCCTCCCAGATGGTAACAAGGAAAACAGGTCGTGAAGAAGATGTGTCGTGTCCCAGATAATCTTGCAGACCCTGCTCAAGCAGCGCTTCTGTGCTATGTCCTGGTTGGGAGGGAAGGAACTGCCCATAACTTTTTCTGCCGTCCTCACCACTCTCTGCACCACCTTCCTGTCTGAAGCAGGGACGCCTCCAAACCAGACTGTGATGCTGTATGACAGGATGCTCTCGATTGTCCCCCTGTAGAGCAACACAGGTAGTCCTCGACTTACGGCCACAATCGAGCCTAACATTTCAGTCGCTAAGTGAGACGTTGGTTAAGTGAGTTTTGCCCTATTTTA